GAAGTAGAAAGACTGAAAAAGTAGTTTCTTGTCAAATGTACTCCAATAATTTAATTTTATTTACAACGTTGGAACATCATTTTTATAGTGTATCTGACTTACCAAACACCACTAATGAATGGTCTGTGATATCTGTCATATTTATTAACAAAGGCAGATTTTCCCCACATATCTCTTTACCTCAACGGCTTCTGAATGAAAGTTTTAAACAATAGAACGGAGATGAATTCACCCAGACAGTAGTGTGACTGGGGTATAAAATACAATGTTTACAGACAAAATCCATACTTTCGAGACACTGAGAAATGTAGGGTTGCCAGAAGTAAACACACAAATGAGCTGAAGAAAATGAGACGCTTTTGACAGTAAACTGTAGGTTGCATACAAAGAGACAGGGGTCAAGTTGAAATTGTCCATCACCCAGACAAGCAGAACTCATTTGGATGCAAACGAGTGCCTACAATATTCAAATATTCAATATATATTCAGAGCTTGAGCGAGCGCTGGACTCCCCCTACAGAAACACTTCATGGCCGTGTTTAGCCCAGTATGAGTTCAAAGTGCAGATACTGTATGTGTGTGTTCATTTGTGTGATTTCAGATTTCTGTTTACTGTCCTTTTATTAACTAAAATAAAGAAACAGCCGTGTCAAACTCAGGAAAACAGACTGTGAAAGCTGTGAAAGTATAAAATTGTGCCAAATATGAGTCCGCTGCATCACAACTGTGACAGAGCAATTATTTAGCAGTTTTCCCTTGCACAGGTGTGACAAACAGTGCAGGCTATTATGTGACTCGTGGAATCATATGACACGAGCACGTTTCTCAGTGAAACTGCACCTGTCACAAAAACGTCAAGACATCGTGATTTTCTTCCTCATATTTTCATTTTAGTGACTTCATGGGAGGACTTTTCCACACGCAGTTCTGGAGGAAATCATTTCTGATGCTAAATGTTCCTCTTAGGTGAGTTAAGGAAATTAATGAGTTATGACAGATATTTTCTTTAGATTTTTTTTTTATCAATATAATGGTCACTTTTATGAGACTATCACTCTTTGACTTATGCTGTGATAATGTTCCTAATACATTTAGCCTACCCAAATGGTAAATGATCATTAGAGAGCTGTCAGTTAATAAATGGGAAAACAAAGTAACTTGCGTTACTTATTTGAAAAAGTAACTCAGATATTTTCTTGTAAATTAAAAAAAGTAATGCATTACTTTACTTGAAAAAAAAAAGTAATCTGATTACATAACTCGTGTTACATGTAACATGTTACCCCCAATACTGGCCATAATGCCTAAAGATGTTGTCTAGGTAGGCAGCTAGGTGATAAAGGCCATTTTATCAATGATTTAAGGTTGTAAAAAGTCTTTGAACACTTGGCAGTCACCCACAGGAATGCCCTGATAAATCCAGACCTACAGACCGCCCCGATCCGAATCCATCCAGAGCCACTTGAGCATCACCCATAAGTCACAGCACATCAGACACCTTCTACTTCCTAAACACATCACAGCCACCTGATGCCAGCCATCATCTTCAGCCCAGGATCAATTGAAATCCTGTGTCATTGGAAACTCTGTACGGATGAGCTAATGAAATAAACACAATTGGATAGCAGAGAGTGTGGGTCAGGCCAGAGTAAGTGCCTATTTACCTGAATGAGAGGCTGGTATAATGTATTGGAGTGGATATCACATTAACCTGCCAAAGCCTTTTTAAATGGGGTCCAGGGCTTAAACTGATTTATCTATTGGCTCCCCCAGGGGCACTTTAGAGTGTGCAGCCCATCCAGCCGAGCCATCAATCTAGTCCTGCACAGCAGATATCATTACTGTGCCGCACACACACGTTCACACTAACAGGTGTGTCTGAGCAAACGCACCCAGAAAATACTGCTCCACAAATGCATATTGTTTGTGCTGAAGGAGAAAAAAACTAAATGTAACAAAGCCCAAAAAATGGCACATTACAATACCGCATTATTGAGGTATTATTGTTACAGAGGTCACTACTGAAAATGTAACAGTATGGATTTTATCCATTAGGGATTTGATTGGATTGGATTGTCAAGAGTGGGCTATACTTAGCAGAATGGAGTGTAGTGGTTGGCGGGGAGCGTTGAGAAATAAGGGGGATTCATCACGTCATTCAGAAATCAAAGGGATTCTGTTATCATGTACTCTCCCTCCTGTTATTACAAATATGTAATTCTATATGACAATAACAAATATGACTCTTCTGTGGTGCATAAAAGAAGATATTTTGAGAAATGTTTACATTTTGGTAATAGATTTTTACACCAGTATTTGGAATTATGAGCGCAATAGTTGTTATCATTTTTTATTTTAAATTCTATGCTGTGACTTTTGTTGTTCATACAACAGAAGTCAGTGGTATTCAGTGTTGGTTGACTCCCATTGTTCTTCATAATATCTCCTTTTGGGTTCTGTTTGTGTTCCACAAAAAGCGCATGCAGGTTTGGAATGACATGAGGGTGAGTAAATTATAGAATTGTCCTTGTTTTGGTGGAAATTATTAGAGGGGCAGATCAAGTTATTACATTTTGGTAACAGATTTTGATGCAGACATTTGGAAGAATGTGCACAATAACGTTTAATTGTTTTTGGTTTGCAATTCTGTCTTGTTTGTGGCGAAGAAATTACACTCAGATTTATTTATTTGTTTGTCTGTTTGTTTGTTCCCATAAAATAGAGGTCAATGGTTGGTTCTTCAAAAGAACTTCTTTTGTGTTCTGCAAAGCAAAAAACAAAAGCAGGTTTGGAACGACTTGAGGTGAGTACATAATACAATTTTCATTTTTGGATCAAATTTATTAGAGCCACATAGCAAGTTATGACATTTTAGTAATAGATTTTGATACAAACATCTGAAAGGATGTGCACAATAATGTTCAAAATAAGATCAGAAATGAGTTTTGGATTCAGTTTTTTTCTATTTTTTTTTTTCAATCAACCAACCAATCAATCAACCAATCAACCAATCAACCAATCAATCAACCAACCAACCAATCAACCAATCAATCAACCAATCAACCAACCAACAACCAATCAACCAACCAACCAACCAATCTATCAACAAATCAACCAACCAACCAACCAACCAACCAACCAATCAATCAACCAATCAACCAACCAACCAACCAATCAACCAACCAACCAACCAACCAACCAACAACCAATCAACCAATCAATCAACCAATCAACCAACCAACCAAAAATCAACAATCAACAACCAACAACCAATCAACCAATCAATCAACCAACCAACAACCAATCAACCAACCAACCAACCAACAACCAATCAATCAAGATATCTAAACTATGTAAACACAATTAAGTCTTAAAGATTTATTTCCATTGGGTTACTAAAATGTGATAAAAAATTTAAAGAAAGAAAATAACTAGGCATAATTTTGATTTAATTTCAATTTTGAACTGCCTGGAAAGAATTGAAGTGTTTAGGAATCCTGTCATAAATCATATTTTTTGGTTTGCAGTCCTGTCTTATTAGTAGCCTAGAAATTACAAACGCACCTCTATTTATTTTTTCTTATTCTAAACAAAGTTTCAAAGCTTTTCACTTCGACATTCGGTGAACTTCCAGTTGTCTCAGTGAAATCTCGATATGACAACAGCTGTAAAACCAGCACCCATCTAAGAAGTAAATTAATAATTTGCATAAATTAAATGAAAGAAATGTAGACCTTATCAAGAGAACCGTTTCATTTGTGAGAAGAAAAACATCTGTGATGAACAAAATGTGCAAGGGAAGCCGAGCAGCGCATGATCAGAGATAACATTTACACAAAGAACAAAGACTGAATGTGAGAGCGAGACTCTACTGTACACATATAGCAGAACAAAGAGACTGAGAAAAATACACTCAAGCATGCATGAATACTAATCACAGAAATAAATACAAAATATAAGTCATCTATTAAATACAGTCATTTGTTTAAAGCATTAAATGACATTTTGGTGTGGTGATCAAAGTTGGATTGATGTAATTATCAGATCAGAATAATATTTTGATTCCGTAATGTTTGTGTTGAGAGTAGGAATAATATTCCATTGTTATTACAAATTGAGGTCTCAGTGGTTGATTGATTGATTTGTGTTGAAATAGGCTGAAATTTAAGTTGTTTTCCCTGAATATCTCGATCTTGCGCATGACAGTTGCGGTCAATGTTGGGGGTGAAGCATTAGAAGTAACGCAAGTTACGTAATCAAATTACCTTTTCATTTAACTAGTTAAGTAACGCATTACTTTTAAATTTACAATAAAATATCTACGTTACTTTTTCAAATACGTAACAGCAGTTACTTTGTTTCCCGTGTCTTGACTGACAGCTCTCCTGTCCTCGTGTTCAGAGAAATCAGGAGTGAGTGCAGAGTGCATTTAATCCCATTTTATTAACCAATATCTTTGCTGCTGACCTTCGATAATCCAATTCATCCATACTAAGTAAAAATGACACATTTGTGTTTAATTTTGGTTATTGCTGAATAGTTTTGAACTTTCTTCTCCTGCGTCATATTCTTCATGCAATTTTTTTGAGCTGCGCCCTCTACTGTACAGATGTGAATTTACATTTCCTTTAGTCTGAGGCGTATTCATTTCAATTTTGGTGTGAAAAGCTTCAAAAAGAAGAACTTTTTATATTAAAAACAAACAAGCAAACCCTGCCCAGATTTAAAAAGCAACTCAAAAGTAACGTAACACATTACTTTCCATCAAAAGTAACTAAGTAACGTAATTTACTATGTTACGTAAGTTACTTTTTAGGGGGAATAACGCAATATTGTTATGCATTCCTTTTAAAAGTAACTTTCCGCAACACTGGTTGCGGTCACCACTGACTTTCATTGTATGGAACAAACGTTTCTTTTTGTACTCCACAGAAGAAACAAGAAAAGTCATATTGGTTTTGAAAGACATGGCGTGATGAAATGTTCTGGTCTCCACTCACCTCTTCAGGTTGTGTGACCACCACGGCTGGCATCCCTTCCTCTGGCTCATATTCACAGCTTCTCTGTGTCCTGAAAGTCTTATCATCTCGCTTTAGATCCTCCTGATCGGACCTCTTGTCCTCCAGGATCTGTTCAGGTTCTGGTTCTTGGAGTTTCTCAGTGGGATGCAGCCCCTGACCTTAAGTTTGACTGGCCGCGGACTCATCTGTGAAGGCCTGAGCTGGTTTTGGTGTGGTGGTGGTCTTGACTTCTGGCTCTAGTCCCTCTTGAGTGAGATATTTGAACCCCTCGCAAATGTGCTGGCCTGATCCTGAAGTGTGCGATGAAGATGGGATGAACTCATGAGCCAAAAAATCTGACTCCTGAAAACAAAAAACAGAACATATTTATAGTACATTTTCAGATATTTCAATTAATTGAAAATGTTAACCAAAATAATTACATGATATGATAATGAAATGTCAATATGCTTAATTTTCATATCATAAATCACTGGGCAACAGGTTACATCAGTGATTAACAGTCAGATCAGAAAGAGCACTAATTGCCAAAGTTATTGAGAAGAAAAAAAAATTTTTTTTTTTTTTAATTTTTGAAGTTTTAAAAATTAAGTTAGTGCATTGTATTAGCAAACAATATATTGGAAATATATTTTACGTTTGTATTTTGCATTTATACAAAAGTAAAATATATAGTTTTTTTATTTACATTTTTTTATTTTTCTTGCGGTTTTTAACATTTCAATTGAACACTTTAATGGCATAATATTTTATAAATGCAGCTGTTATATGTTTATTTATGAATCATAAAACATTAAATATCTTATTTATTATTTTATTTTAAAGTGTCAGGTCCATCTCTTAAAATACTGGCACATTTCATGCATAATGTTCGATATGCTGTTCTATAACTTTCTGAAAGCAATACAATTCAATATTGTGACGAGAGGGGCGGGGCCGAGAGCCGTGGGAACGGAGCGAGGCCGGTGGAGTAATTGATGATGAGCGACACCTGCACCACTCACCGGTCTCGAGTCCCACGGAGGAGCTCCGGAAGGATAAATGGAGGAGTTACGTCAGTGAAAGACGAGAGAGGACCAGGCCTGAATTTTATTTTGCGTTTGTTTATTTTATTAAAGTGTTGAACGTTTCCCGGTTCCCGCCTCCTTCTTCCCGAACTACGAACTTTGTTACAAATATTCTTTAGAAAAACTATTAAATATACTATATTATCAAACATAAAGTTAGCTAGTTTTAAACACATTTACAATAAATGGTGATTTAGTTTTGGCCCACTTCAGTGTATCTAACAAGTAAAATCATACACAGTCCTAATTTTGTCCGAATCGGCTGAATTAATATTCTGTTCATTGTAGAAAATTAATTAATAAAATTACCATAAGCATGATGTGTATCCTGTAATATAATAAATACTAATAATAAAAAAATAACATTCCATAAAATCTCTACATATATTTAATAAATAAATGTTTATCAATATTTACAAACCAACATTTGGTACCAAACTGTCTTAAGGCTCTCCTGAGTGATAGCTTATTTTAATCTAAATATGCAACCCTGTTACCCATTCTGGCATATTTATTGCTCAAGTCACACCGAACCATCATTAAACAAACAGTACCGCACTAACTTCCTCTTATCTTCACCGTAACTGCATCATGTGCCGTTTTTTGTGCTTATCTAAAACGGGTTGACAAGCACAAATACCCTTTAGCTGAGGAATAACATTTCACTCAACGCCGGCATGATTACTCTTCATTACGCTGTAATGTGACAGTTTGACAAGTGCAGTGGCTGTTTTAGTCACCTGCTGATGTGCGTACATGGCCCAGTGGAGATGAGACCTCTCTGGAAGTGGCCATTAAGCACAGTTCATCTGTCAGGCTTCAGTCCATACTCAACCTCCACTACACTTCATTTGGAAAGAGAAATCCCAGCGGGCTTTGTGTCATTTATAGCAGCGCTCATGTTCATTAAGACCTCAGCGGTGGCCATGTATATTTCAGTGCTACACTTCGTGTCGAGGCTTGTAACGATTTTCTTTTTTGTAAAAAGTGAACTACATTTTATTTGCATATCCAAACAAAAGCCTCATCCAAACTGTTTTAGCTTTTTCCTATAATGCCAGAAAGCAGAAATCAATCAGACTAGTGGTGAAGCTCCCTTCAATAGGACGTCACATTAAAATATCCCAGCTTTCCACATGTCACAGCTGTTCTTCCCTTCATTTCCACTGGCATGTCATGTCTTTCATTAGACAAGAATGTCTCAGTAAAATGTCCCCCTATTCAAGTCAGTTTAAACAGTCAGCTCCAATGGGTATTCATTACACACGGATTGGTAACTGGCAAGGAATTGTTTTCCTATACATAATGGTCGGATGTGTAATCCAAGCCGTTTGCAATTAATTAAGAAACACTGTGTGCATGTGGCCACTTGTACTTTGGCTCTCTCCGGACAATGGCTGATTCGTCTTGGACTGCAGAAATGTTAAAGCATTTGATGTTTCTGAATACTTGAGCAATGAAGTCATTCCACTGTTAAACTTTACAGCAATCTAATTAAGCTGAAGATTCGGTATTGCGACAACAGGCTTTGGTTTGAAGTCTAGCTGAACGAAATGTAGACAAAACATTACTTTGAGTGGCTTTATTTTGATTATAGAAGAAAAACAGAATGAAAGTTGAAAGATGTGCTGCTGTAAACAAAAAAAAAAATCTTCCAGCATCAAATAAAAACAAAAACAAAAAAACAACCCAAAAGTAAAACACACAAAAAAAACAACACACACACACACACACACAAATCATAAAACAGCAAACCAAAACAAAACACACAAAACAAATCAACAACAAAACACACAACAACAAAACAATCCCAAAACAAAACACAACAAAACCCAATACAAATCAACAACAAAACACACAACAACAAAACAACCCCAAAACACAACTAAACAAAATCCAAAACAAAACAAAACACAAAACAACAAAACCCAATACAAATCAACAACAAAACACACAACAACAAAACAACCCCAAAACACAACTAAACAAAATCCAAAACAAAACAACAAAACAACAAAACCCAATACAAATCAACAACAAAAAAACAATCCCAAAACACAACAACAAAACAAAACAAAACAAAACAACAAAACCCAATACAAATCAACAACAAAGCACACAACAACAAAACAACCCCAAAACACAACTAAACAAAATCCAAAACAAAACAAAAAAACAACAAAACCCAATACAAATCAACAACAAAAAAACAATCCCAAAACACAACAACAAAACAAAACAAAACAAAACAACAAAACCCAATACAAATCAACAACAAAGCACAACAACAACAAAAACAATCCCAAAACACAACAACAAAACAAAACAACAAAACCCAATACAAATCAACAACAAAACAAAACAAAATACACAACAACAAAACAACCCCAAAACAAAACACAAGTAAACAAAACACAAAACACAAAAAATAAAAACACAAAAGCAAAACAAATCCCCAAAACAAATCATAAACAAAACAAACAAACAAAAGAATCTGGTAACTTTTTGCACAATGCTCAAAAGAAGACTAGGAATTACTGCTATTCATCTGCATAGAAAAGTAGTTCCATTGCAAGATCAATGCAATTTCACATTTTTAAATGGAAGAATTACTAATAATAACAATAATAATAAATAGCTGCACATTTCTGCTTTAAAACTGAATGCCTTGCTCCATAGACTCCCATTGTAAGTGCACGCTGTGCTTGTTTTTACAAACTGGGGTACAAGTAATCGACAGTATGTCACAGACATCCACAGAGCTCGACTTGTACTAAGCCCAGAACATTCCTTTAAGCACAGAACACATTTGATCTAAAAACAACTTCATCAATGTTCTGTAAAGTGTATTATAACGGCAGGCAACAAACAGGGAAATCAGACCCGTTGTTATACCACTATGACAAGCCTCTGAAGAAATGTGCCACAATGTTCACCCTGCAGCTGCTGCGACACACTAGCTAATCCACGTCTAGCTTTGGTGTGTCCATTTCCATCTATTGACATGTGATATCCACAACAGAGTCTGAATACTACGAGACTCAAAGCCACAGGATCCACCTGGGGTCAAAACACAGCGTGGGACAAGGCTGCATTGAGCAAGGAGTGGCTAAAGGACACCAAAGAGGAAATGACACGAATTCACAAACAAGAGCTACCTTACAGGATAAACGTAAAACTGTAGGGCAAATAGAAACAAGCGGGCCAGGACTAATCTTTGCTAGTATTAAAGCTCAGTTAAGCTGAGGAATTCCCTGAAGACTGGAGAAAGGAATTCTGTATAAACAAGCAATTGGTAAACACGGATATAAATAACACGATCGAGCGATGTTTGGTTAAAAACGGGCACCAATTACTCCAGTGACTGCAGGGACAGGTTTACTCACATCGCAGCTGTTATCACTTCTTTTTTAGCTTAACTGTAGATATATCATTGTGTTAGGACAAACATTTTACTGAGCGTAGAAAGCACTAAATTTATCCACATTCCTGAGAGGAATGTAAGCGAGCAAACAGTACAAATGCAACCGACTGGATCCGTCTTTATGAGCAAAGCTACTGCATAATGAAGTCATATCACCATAAAACTGACTGTGATGCATCAAATCTGATAGCGTTTTGTGGAAAGAGAACATTATTCATGCACCATTATCGTCAATCAATGTTCATTTAGCCGTCGGAGTTACTGACTCTTTCTAAATAAAAGTATAATCTTCCGAGACAAACGATTACACACTGTAAAAAGTGAAAATGTGCAGCTATTTCCACCAGATCTGATCTGTTACTCTTGTTGGTTTAACCCAATGTAGTAAAGGTGATTCTGTCAAATTGAATATTACTTTGGACTTTTAACTAATACAATAAAGCATATTTTTACATTTCTTGACTGTTTTACTGTGTAAAATAGTGTCTGTTTACTTTGAGGAAATTATAAAGTTTTCAAAATCATGATTCTCTGCATTTTATATATAACACTCAAATGATTTATCAAATGAATTATGAGAGGTTTATCAGCTGTTGAAAAGGATTGGGGCTGCTCTTGGACCAAAACAAACTTTAGACATGGGTTGGGGTGTTGGAAAGAGGGGTTTGTTGTGTTATTCAACATTTTAACAGTGTAAATTTGCATATAACATATTGCACACTAGTGCACATTTGGCATCCTTCATTGGATGCAAAACATGTTTATTATCACTTTTTGTTTCTATTGAGCTTAACATCTACCTTTTCCTTGACTGAAAATGCAGGTCCTTCTTGATCCATGAAACCAGCATCTAGATTAAAAACACAAATCAATATACTCATTACAATGCTCAAGGAAACAAATCAGGACTCAACAAATAAAACGGTATAATAAACACATCTAAAGATAATACAATGTTTAAACGTCCCAAATGAGACATTTGTCAACAGGTGTCTCGACAAAATGTGAAGATCTACATTGGCAATGCTTTTCATGAAGCCTGCAACTAACGCATTCATAATGTCTTACACACACTAATCATTTGTTCTCATTAATAATTTCATCCACAGATATAATGCATTAGAATACTTATAGATATAAAAGAGTAGTGCATCAACACACCGTTTCAAACAGTATAACAATTGATATAGCCTAAGTGCAAGCACATTAAATCTGTGGTTATACTGGGCTAAAGGTTTGATTTATAAATCGAGAACACCTGCTTTAGATATAGACTTCGGATACACTTCTCGCATAGAGTCATGCTGCATTACGCAAGCACTTAAGTCTATTAATAGAGCTCGCAAATGAGATTTGTCACTTCTCTGCATGTTTAACTTGTTCAAGGAATTCAAGCGATACTTTTATGTTTTGTAAGAGATAAGATATGCTTAGATAAATAGTTTAGGCGAGCATCTTTAACCTACACGCTCGGGTGCTCGCATAGCCTATAAAGAGTTTCTATATGGGCACCTGCTCTCTTTACCTGAACCAGGCTGTGTGTTGCGTCGCTCGTGTGTAGCGTGAGTATCATGTGTTCCTCCATCTGCAGTCGCGAGGTCGGAACATCCCCGCTCTGCTCCAGTCTGATTCGCGGAAGTCATGTTAATAGTGCAGGGATTCCTGAGCGCGTCATGTCAGAGCGGATCTCGGCGCGCAGAGGATTAACTCACCTGCGTCCTCCAGCGACGCGACGCAACAAAAACGCAACGCTCCATTCATACGCAACAAAGCGGCACAGGCGCGCTATAGAGTGCACTCTTCTTCGATTAGCCTATATTTAAAAGAAGAGCACAGAACTCCATAAAATAAACTTTTAGAATCAGCGCAGTATGGCGCGTGGATCCCTCCAGTGCGGTTCACATTTGGACCGCTGAATAGATGTGCGATGCATATTCAGAAGGAATATGACTTCTAAACGCATTATTGATTTCATTTATATTTTCTCTCAATTCAGTAGCCTACGCTAAACATAGGTTAGACTGGAATAATCGTAAAAAAATCTAAAATAGCAATAAAGCATCCGTTTGAAACTCCTTGTAACAATCAACTATAAATTATAACAGGCTAAATATAGGCTATTATGGAAAATAAATAATCAGAATTAAAAGCGCTCTGTGGGGGCGTTCACGCGGGAGAAATTTTCACGCCCAAAAACAGTCCGACTCAACAAATCGGAACGCAACAGATTTGAGGCCGTTTTTAAACAAAAAAATGTGAACAGATCACGCAGGACTATTTCAAAAAACCGTTCAAAACTACAAATACACCAGCAGACTGGGTCTCTAGACCGAATTTTACAATGTGAGTTTTATGGCAAATGCTAAAGACAGCATGTGTCGCAACCGTCAACTGTTAAAGACTATAGACAAAATCTATCGCATTTTCACTTAGATGATTAAAAAAATGACTGAAGGTGCATACTGTTTTTAACATGACACTACATCTGAAAAATCCAGAGATGTTGAAAAAAGACAGACTCGACACAAGGTGTGCTAAATATGCATTGAACATTTTAAAAAGACGGAACACAAGAACGCGTCGTGTGTGAACGGCTCTTATGTCAAGACCAAATTAAGAGGATAACTTGTGAATTTGAGTGGGCGCTAAAAATAACGTGTGTGTGTGTGTGTGTGTGTGTGTGTGTGTGTGTGTGTGTGTGTGCGTGTGTGTGTGTGTGAGAAA